CCGTCTCTACACTAGCTGCTTCTTTTGTTCTTTTTAATCAAACTCATACATTTTAAGATATATATTTTCCAGTCCAGAAATAACATAATTTTGAATTTTCCAGTCCAGTAAAAACATACTTTTGAAAATCTCTCTGAGTTGTATGAAATGCATGATGTGAACTTTAAAAATTTGGCTGAGTGTTATAAACAACTCAAATAGCCTTATTTCACCACTTAATGCCCAGTTGGTACTGTTAGATATGGTTGCTCTTCAAGGAAGAATATTTGACCCCCCGAAAGAAAATATAGGATTTTATATTTACACTATGAAAAAAGTATTTAAAAAAGAAAATTATGTGATGCATTGTGGTGAAATTAGACGTACACTCGTCAAAATAATGGAATCGTGCATTTTCCCCGCTTGTTTTGGCAATTTTTATCGAATTTTTCTTTTTTGACTCAACACTTTTTATGTCCATTTACAAACATATTTGTGTGTGGACTTTACTGAAAAACGCTGATTAAAGGAACGGAGAATGCAATTTTGTTTTTTCCAAGGACTCTCAAGCTTTGGAAGCTGCCAAACTTTGACGCTTATGCAGTTGTAAGCGCCGTAAAATCCCATACTAAACTAAACTAAAACTTTGACAGCCATTTCCTCACTAATTTTACCTCTAAAACCAAGCAACCCCTACTTCTTTCAATCACAAGTATTTCAACTTTTATTCAAGATTTTTAAGAGTATATTTTTTAAATGGAAGCAAGACAAATGGACAAGCTATAAAATTATACCAGTAACAGTACTCCACATGCCCAAAAATTGACGAGTGACTGATTCCACCATGTCATGACACATATATATTCTCCCAATTCTGATGTTTCTAACCATACAGTTTGCTCTATTTTGTGCTCGCAGTGATTCACTCGCCGGCGGGCACAACTACCGTCGTCCAGGCCCCTCCTCAGCAGATTGTGTACGTCGATGACAACCCGTACAGATACCGCAGACGCTACTGCAGAGGGGGATTTTATCCCACCCCGTTGTTCTTCTGGTGATTGGCCAACGTTTCCCTCGCAAGATGAAAAAAAAAAAAAAGAGAAGGGAAAAAATGTTTTTTTAAAGATTTCGTGAAAATTGCTGCCTTCTAGCAGTTTGAAACTACAGTTTTCGTATTGAATAATTTTTTTTAAAGAGGTCTATCAAGACAGGTTGTATATATAATATATTATATATACTTTGAATGTGCTCATTGAAAAAAGCAAACTACTGCTTTTGAATCTGAGCTTATTCTTAATCTTATCTTTTTTGTAAGTTAGTGAAAGCTAACTTCCGTAAAATCATCATATATAGTATTACTAATTTTACCATGTTGATTAGAGCTATGTCTCAGGAGTAACGTGTTTGTGTCGAGAAAGCTGTGTTATGTTGGTCCCAAAATCAGTAAACAATATTTCAGTCCAAAGTACAGGGTGGTTTCTGTTGTACTGTAGACAGAGATACCTGGAGTAGCAGGAGCAATCATGACACAACTGTGGTCATAAATAATACAGTGGAAACCTGATATAACAGGGGTGGTGGGACCAGAGAAAAAAGTCTTGTTATATACAGATCCCTGTTAAATCAGAAATGCAAGGGAAATAACGATTTGTGAACTAATCCATCTGCATTTATTCATGGGTAGTTTCCCATGGCCTGCGCATGACACATTGCGCATGGTGTGTACCTCGGCTTAGGGCTAGATCGAAGCCTTCAGCTCACCGCAGCCCCCCTCTCGCTTCGCCAACTGCCTGTGCTTGCAGTGGCGGCTATAACCAATTCGGCTCTGATGAGGCCCTGTTATTGCAGATAACTTTTAATAGAGACAAAGAGTATGAAAAGACGGGGATTTAAAAAATCTCTGTTATTACACGGCCTGTTATATATGGTTTCCACTGTATAAATTTTTGTTGGAAGAGAGTATGTGGTTCTGCGTATCTAATAGTTTAATTTGTTATGTCTTATGTGATGCAGATTTCCTTCTCCAGACATTGTTGTATCATATTTTCGTCCAAAATCTTTAAGTGCATCATAACATGACAAATGTGAGGCAGCGTGGTGAAATCAGGCGCTCGTTCCAAAAAATGAAATCAGAGGTATCGGCATTTTTCTGCAGGTTCTGCAATATTTTTTTTTTCCGGTTCAACACTGTTTATATCTATTGAAAAACACATTCCTGTGAAGATTTCAATGAAAAAAGTTGATTAAAGGCACCAAACATGTAAATTATTTTTTTCCACGGTCTCTCAAGCTATGTAAGACACCAGACTTTGATGGCCTTTTTTTCGTTAATTTTACCTCTGAAATCAAGCGACATCCGCCTCCTTCAATTGCTATTATCTGTTCTATTCAAGACAGATTGGTAATTTTTAAATCACAGCAAAGACAAATGAAAAAGCTTTATAACAGTAGCAATAACTCGATATACCCAAAAATTGACGAGCACCTGGTTCCACCATGTTGTGACACATATATATATATATCATATTCCTAGACCAGCTATTTATCTTTGTGCTCAGAATTTTGAAAGACTATGTTTCTAAAGTTATTTTTATTACATCCATTGTGAAACTGATTAGCATTTGGTTTGCCAAAGACCAGACAGTTCCTGAGTTTTATACTGTTTGTAACCAGAGCTGTTAAAGTACTTTTAAAAAGGTACTTAAGTACAAATTTAAGTACAATCTAAAATATGTACTTAAGTACAGTAAAAGTACTTTCCTGTAAAATGTACTTGAGTACAAGTACTTTTTAAAAAAGTACTTATGAGTACATTTTGAGTACTTTCTGCTAATATGCTAAAACACTTCAAAATGCAAAACATCATATTGAATAACATATCTAGTATATTTGACAAATTCGGCCATTTATTACTAATAATGTAAACAGTATACAAAGCATTTGAATATACGCACTGAACGTAGGTGGAAATTGTCCGTGAAATTGAAAAAAAAACCCAGCAAACAAACAGACGCAACTAGTGAGTAAGTGATATTATGAATAGAATTTGTTTGAGCAAGACAATATGATCTAATGTAAGTCAGTCCTAGGGGTCGGAAAGTAGGGAAAGTATCAAAATTGGAAAATGTAGAGACAAAGTTGACCTAAGAAAATAAAAAATTGATGAAAATGGCCGGCAAAAAAAAAGTGCTTTGAATTCTTTAACAAATCCTCAAGGAATCAAGGTAGTCTTAAGCACAAACCACTAAAAAAAAGGAAAAAAGAAATTTAGGTAGCCTAAAAAATTGTTAGATTGAAATACATTGAGAACTCGATTTCAGTTTCAACTGATTATAATAGTGGTTAGACATAGTTTGGTCACACTGTGTAGTCCACGGCGCCCACGGCAAACCAAAATAGGCCTACATGTAATTTCCTAGAGTCTAGTAAGTGTAGTGTAACCAAAAATTCTCTACTACAGTAGTCTCCGCCTAAGATCCCAGTGCTCGGGAGCAAGGGAAATACGGGATCTTAGCCCGACGAAGCTAAGGAAGAATCTACAGTGACCCAAGAACTGACGTGACCCCTGGGTAGGTTTATGACATATGGCGAGCAAAGAGTGGTCATCCTTGATGACCAATCACAGTAGCATGGTTGCATGAGGCAAGCCATAATATTATACCGTACACTCATTAGCATATCGTCTCGAGATCTTTATCTACGTTTATCCAGTTGCCCCTCCCCTTTACCTGTCCAAAAATTGTAGCCTTCCATCTCTGATTGAGTCCCCCTGCCTTTGTCGTTACGTACCATTACGCTGTGACCACACCAATTAAAATTCAGGCTGTCTCGCAATTTCGGGAATAGAGAAAAACTGCCTTCAACTTCAATGGTCAGGGAAGAGTTCACAGTTCGATGTGATCCTGCCTGGGACGAACTTGTAGGCCCAACCCACCCAGCGAGGGATGAAAGTTCAGGTGGCGAGCTCAGATGCGAGTGCGATGTTTGGGGAAAAGAAACGCCCATCGGTCTGTTCACACCTCGGTGTGATCCCGTCTGGGGATCATTGTACCGTTTCATGGAGTTTTACAGCACATGTGATCACTTTCACAAGAGTGGCTGATCTTTGACGCGACGGGCAGTTCTTTAATCTCAACTTTTAACTCTTGGTTGATCGGCTGTGCCCGCCCGGGTGTTTGTTCCGTAAATTATGATCGGAAATGTCGGCACTTATTCTTTCATTAAGCTTCAAAAGTACTCAAAATGTACTTGAAAAGTACTCAAAAGTACTTTTATAAAAAGTATCGGAGTACAGTAAAAGTACTGATTCTCAAAATGTACCGGAGTACAGTATAAGTACCGAAAATTGTAACGTAAGTACAAGTACCGGAGTACTTGTACTCCGTTACTACCAGCTCTGTTTGTAACAGTAGCAACTTGGGGAAAAGAAAGGAGAATTTACCTTTATTTTGACCTAGGATCTTATATGATCATGTTGGTTTCATGTGTTGAGGTCCTTTCTGGCTGACTTGTATCTTCAGTAAATCTGGTAATGTTACAGCAATCTTTATGAAGTAAAGAACTGTGTTCAAACATGAACATTTAACAATTATTATTATGTATTCAAATTGCTTTAATTTTGAAACACAGAATGACTTCATTAATCGTGTATTTATGTGTCCAGTTACATAGATTTTTTCTATTGACGCTTCGCTCTCTTAGAATTACTAAGTTCTATCTGCTTAGTACATACCTAGTTTTTGAGAAATTATTTGACGTAAAAAAATTTGAGTATCTCATATCAAGCTTTTTTTAATGCAATTCTTTGAATATCTTGATAGTGACTCCAAATAATCTTACTATATTGATAGAACAGATGGAACAATTGGTTTCTGACCTCATGGTTTTAACTCAAAACGGCCTGAAATGTCAGATTGAACTTTGTAATTTTAAGGTAGTGTCTTATTATGAATTTTTGCAATAAGAAAGAAATTTTTAAAAAGAAAATGACCTCAGGGTTGGAAGGATTGCAGCCCTATCATTCAAATTTGAATAACTGCATCATTAATGTTAATTGTATCATTCCTGATATTTTCATATCAGATGGAACTCCTTGCTCCTGTACAATTGTTCTTTTTTTTTTGTTTGTCATCTTTGTCTTTTAATTCTTGCTTTTTAAATATTTGCTTGTGGCTGTGATTGTTACTGGTTTGTTGAAGTTGAATTGTTGTGAACTGAAGAGTAATGACTCCGCGTTCTAGTTGTTGATTTTGCTACAATAGTCTCTGCCAAAACCTGTCCCCGTCGTTTTATGCAAGAAAAATTCTGAAATTATGCAAACTGAGCCCAAAAATGTGAAATTATGTGATTCTGTTAATTTTCACACAAAATGATTTAAGGAAAATAATCAGAAATTATGCAAAAAATGATCGAATTTGGCTAAATTATGTGGGGCGCAAAAAACCATGGGGACAGCTAAACACATGGTGCTGGGGAGGGCACGTCTATGCTTGCATTTACACTGAGCGTGCATTTAAGTGAACCCGTGCAAAAGTGTAAAGGGATACAACTGTCTCATTTCCTTGATATACTTGCGGGATTATTGTTACTTCCCTTTCGGGTAGGTGAGTTCGCTTTCACCGATAGTGCGACACAATGTGACGGTTTCTTAAAAGGACTAGCTGGGTACCCGTTCGATGAATGGACTCAAAAGAATCGATCGTCAAGTCATTGTGGAATCAGTGCACACTGCTTGTGAACGGAAGCCTCACTTGTTTACAATGGTGTCTTAGAAGACAGAGTTTCCCAAGATTAGATCTAAACGAAACTAATGAAAAACTGAAAATTGTTTCTGTAAATGATTCTGAACCACGGTTTATTTTTTTCTAAAGGTTCTTTAAACTAAATCACATGTTCTTTGAGCGCAGCTGATCAGTTCACTAAATCATTAATTATAATTATTTCGGCCCACTAGTGTTCTACAACATTCACACTTGTTGTGCATCATTAGCCCGACTAAACGTTACAGTCATCCAAACACCAGTGAGAAACTTTCTCCCAAAGATGCCTTTCGAATGACTAATCAAAAAACATTTCAGTCATTCCCCACAAAACATATCATCTTTCCTACATGTCTAAAAATATCGGGCAGTTCGGACATGCAGGCTGTCCAGGTTTTTGCAAAGATTTTCTTTTTTCTAACTTAATCTGAAGTAATCGTGCGAAAAGTGTGCATTTGGTGCGCAGTAAGCATGCATTTGTATGATTGCGTTTAGGCAGAGACTACTGTACTTGCTTGCAAATATGAAGGCTAGAGGGCTGACTTGTGTTAATGGAATAAACTGCCTGACCTCGGTAAGGTAGATTTTTTTGTTCAGTGATTGTACATTGTACAGACTACGGAAAATGATAAATTTGTGAGACGTGCGGACAAAATGAGTTACTTCTCGCAATCCACAAATGGAGATATTGGCAAAAAATTAACACTTATGTCAATTAAAAAAAAAAAATTTCCATTGATGCCATGCTTTTTAATTAAGTATAACATGCCCCTTTTTATTTCACACTTATAAATTATATAAACACTTCACCTAAAAGAGTGATGTATCCATTTCCATAGGGCTCGAATCCGAGAAGTAACTCATTTTGTCAGTACGCTTCACACTTAGTCTTCATATTTTGATTGACTTTGTTGGAACTATTTTTGTGTTGTGTTGAAGGGTTTGAGGTGCAAAGAAAAGGAGAACAAATTTTTACTATATGTGTGCAATTTCTTTATCCTACATGTTTACGGAATGATTTACAGCACTGGTGGGTGTTTGACGGGTGCTCTGGTGTGGTTTGCTTCTTCTTTTCTATCAAACATCTATAGTCCTTATCTCCCCTTCTTTTTTTAAAAGTTTGTTACTCTCTTGTGACACCTCTAATCTTCTGGTGCTCATATAACCTTATGCAGTTGCGAGTGCCGTAAAACTCTCTTACTATAACTTTTTTTAAAAGCCGTGGTAATGTAAGTGAATGATAAAGCTGCTTCCTATCCAAGGTTTTCGATTGAGTTTGAAATGAGGAGAGTGTTCCTGGACAGGTCCTGTCTCATAACAGTTGGCCTACACCAACAACTCTCCCACATCCACAAACCTTGGCGTCTTAGTGTCGACACTAACCACCCACGGCATCCCCCTGACTCAAGCTCTCCGGCTGGCGACAGAGAGACGTCTCTTTCTTCACACAACACCCAAAAGGGTATAAGCGGCGGATAAAAGTTCAGTAAAGTGAGGTGACGTGTAGCTTCTCAGCTGGTGAATAAAAGTCTCCTACTTTTTGCGCCAACTCAAAGTCATGGGTCTTGGGATTTTCTGTCCATGTGACCACTTGTCGTGCCAAGCCGTCTGTTGTCCCTGGTGCGACAGGGATAGACTACGATAGAGTTTTCTGTACTGCTTTATTTTATATAAATATATATATATATATATACTACATACATACACATGTATTTTTAATACCTTTTTGTCTTTTCTCTTATCCTTTCATAAGTTGTAATAATTATAATTCATGTATTTGACATTTGAAAAAGGTCTTTGACCTTGAATCCATTTTGTTGCATATTTGGACCTTCACTTGTGGTGGGACCAGAGTCTGTCTAGATTACAAAAAGAAGCCCTCTTATAGAACCATTATTTGTGAGGCATCGTGGTGAAATCAGGCGCTCTTCAAAATAATGAAATCGAAGAAAATGGCATTTGTTCCCATTGGTTTGGCAGTTTTTATCAAATTTTTTTTTTTGGCTCAACACCTTTAAAATTAAAGTCTATTTAAAAACACATTTCTGTGTGGACATTACTGAAAAACGTTGAGTAAAATTTTCAGTTCCCAAGGTCTCTCAAGCTGTTGAAGTCAGCAAAATCTGGCGGCAATTTTCTCACTTGTTTTACCTCTAAAATGTCCTTTAATCGCAACATCTCTAAAGCTATTCAAGATGGATGGGTATTTTTTTTTTTTTAAAGCAAGACAAATGAACAAGGTGTAAAATAATACCAATAACTCCACATGCACAAAAATTGACAAGCGCCTGATTCCACCATGTCTTCGCACTTTTTTGTTTTCCCAAAATTTCTAATAAACCTATTGTCTTTCATTTGGGCTTTACTTCACTTTAAGAAATTATTTTTTAGTTTCTTGTCAATAAAATTGATTGAAATGGAGTTCTTGTTTTTACAGCATTTTGTGAAAATTACTTGGAGTTTTTCACAAATCTCTTTTTTTTTTTCATAAATTATGGTCTTTAGATCAACCAAAAAAGTTATTGTATGTCAACTTTTGAAGAATGCCATGATTGTTGTGACTATTACTCTTCTGAATTTCTGAATTTGTGGAAATAAATTGTTTCAGAGTACTCATGGACTTGAATTTTGCCGTTTTTTCAAACCGAAGGTTTTTTTGTTGTTGTTTAAGATAAGTTTATTATCAATTGTTGTTGTGGATTGGTGACTTACATAATTTATAATCTGTACCCGTCGTTTTACGCTAGAAAAATTCTGAAATTATGCAAACTGAGTCCAAAAATGTAAAATTATACCATTCTGTTAATTTTAACAAAGAATGATAAAGGAAAATAATCAGAAATTATGCAAAAAATTATCAAATTTTGCTAAATTATGGGGGGGACAGTATAATTTATTCTTCAAGCTGCAGCTAGTTGGGATATTGGTATTAATTTGTTGATTTGGTTGGCTGAGTATGTGCTTTACTGCACTATTGACACAGCTTGGTTATGTTAGCGCCAAAAACTGTTACAAACCTAACTTTTTAACCCTATCCGTACGTCGTGTTTTACTATCGTATCCCTACGACGTGGGGAACTCTGTGCCACCACTTTCCAAAGGGGAAAGTTACTTATTTACTAATCCGTACGCTTTGCATAGCAGTCTGTCAAAACGATTTTTTGAGAAATACTGAAAGTTTCAAGCAAAGAATTCTTCGTACTTGAGGTACATGTATTCTAAAATGTGAAGAATACAACCCCGGGGTACAAAATGACCCCTAAGGCGTACGGATAGGGTTAATGTACTTAAAGGAAGAACAAAGTAGAAATGGTGACCTCTACACTGTACATGGCATGGTCCACTCTGTAGTAGTTCTTCATGGGTGGTTGGCGGGTGCTCTGGTGTGGTTTGCTCCTTCTTTCCTATCAAACATCTATCGTCCTTATCTCCCCTTCTTCTTTTTTATAATTGTTACTCTCTTGTAACACCTCTAATCTTCTGGCGCTCGTATGACCTTCATGCAGTTGCGAGTGCTGTAAAACCTCTACTAAAAAATAGTAGTTTAGTTCCTTTAATAGTTTTGGCATGACGTGGAATCAGACGCTCATCAATTTTTGGGAATATTGGATCATTGGTATAATTTCAAAAAATCTACTCAGAAATGTGTTTTTTAATTAACATAGAAGTAGAAGGTCTTGAGCCAAAAAAAATTAGAAAGAAAAAATGACAAACGGCCAGAAAAATGCCAGTTTCGTCGATTTCATTATTTAGCCAAGCGCATGATTTCACCACGATGCCTCACAATTGATGTCACTGGGGTCAGTATAAAAATCAAGGTTTTTCTATCAGCTCATCTAATATCATGCTGGACTATAGAGCAGATGGCCCTGGTTCAAATCCCAGAGTGGTTGTTCTTGAGCTCCGCTAGTTTTGTGCAGATTTCAAGGCTCTCATCTTTTTTGGCTTATTGTTCCTAACCCTATCGAAGACGGATGTTCAGCGTTAAACCCATACAAGGGGGACTCTTGTGGTCTAAGTACTGTATTCGCCTCTCATCCAATAGGTTCCGGGTTCGAAACCTGACTGCAATGAAAAATTTTCTTCTCTGAAACCTCCTTTCACCCCGCTTCCTGCTCTCTAACCACGATCTGTTGTCTGCTTTCGTCTCCATTTTCTGCCCTCTCCCCCTTGCCCCCTACTCTGGGCTCCTGACTGTCTCTGTTCTGCCTTTCTAATAATCTTCTACTACTACTCCTTGGTTCCTTTTTACTGCTGTCCTTCAGCCACTTCAGGGGGGGGGGGGGGGGGGGGGGATCTCGGAGGTCCCACGTGCAAGTTGCGCACGTCAATGATCCCTTGATGGTCCTAAAATCAATAAAAGAGTACGTTTCGGCCACCACCCGAGCAAAATTCAAAATGAATTCCTATCAAACTGAAAATGCTTAACATGTGTCCCACGTGCTCATCATAATATTATGAATTTATGCAATTGCGAGCGCCGTAAAATATTTACCCCCCCCCCCCCAAAAAAAAACAAAAAAAACAACAACAACAACATACACACACATGATAGGCCTGCGTAAAGACTCAAGCAAAAAGCATAGTGCATGTATGTAGTTGTTTGTGTAAGAGTTGCTGTTACAGAACTGTCTCTGCGTGATTACAAGCAGTAGTACATGTAATTGTGCGCGGTACTGTCTTTGAAAAACAGTTGCAGCGGATCGAATGTGAGTCGAGACTGGTGATTTTTCATCCTTGCAATAACTTGCATTTCTTTCTGTATTTAACAGAGTAAGAATTTTATTCGGCGTTTAAAGCCAATGGCGATCATCACATTAATATAAATCACTCACTTGTTAAATAAGCATTTCTGTACTACACACACACACACACACACACACACACACACACACACACACACACACACACGCGCGCGCGCGCGATTTAAAAAAATGTAAAGCAGTCGAGTCACTTTCATTGGGGTGATCGCAGGGATCAATCGAGCAAGTGCAATGAAAATGCCGTTCCATGAGAGGACAGTCTTTTTTTTTTTTCTTTTTCTTTCTTTTCAAACCACTTTAGTTTGGTGTTTTGAATAATTTCACCGGCGGACCTCACTTAACTACGGCTTGTTGTTCCCCTGACCCCCCACAGACTCACACAACAAACTTCTACTATATCATTAAATCTACACAATGCACCGATGCAAAAAAATTCAGTGATAGTTTATGTAGGCCTAGATCTATCTGCATTGTAATCATATATTTACACTACTTTGATTGTGATTAACAAATCAACACACGGTGTCCTAAATACGCTTACGTTCTGGCGAGATCCGGCGGCATTTTAGAATCGGTCTCAATTTCTAGTCAACACCGTAGAGAAATTATGAATTATCAAGAGTAATCTCTCTTCTTACAAATTACAATTTCCGGAACTTAGAAAAATAGTTCCAAGTAGAAAAATAACAATTGATAACAAACATTTCCTTATGATCCAATTTTGTCCATATTTACAATATGTCTAATATACTGTGCACTTTGAAATAATTTGAAAAAGAATCATTTTTGTTTTTGAGTTTTCTTCCGGGGAAGTGCGGTTACCAGGAGTTAGAGTATGAATATATTTGTATCAGCTCCATAGCAACGGCGGTAAACCAAACAGGTGTCGAGAGGTGCAAGGCTGGGAAGATTGAGATACTGTTTGTGTGCTTCTCTGCCCCTCAAGGATCCTAAGTTTCATTATGGCGTTGCCATTTCTACCCGGCAACAGTTTCAACAAAAGTGTAAGTAGAAGGCTTTGTTATTGTATTTCGAATTTGTGTGCAATTATTCCTTTTTTAAACTTAAATTTGCAAAATATGACACGTATAGTCCTACAGTTTTCGTAGCCGTGTTTACCATCGATTCTAAGCCTCTGGTCTATCGCTATAGACACACAGTTGGTCTTGTCTTCTGTTCATGATCTCCTCATGATATCTGTATCTTATCTAAACCCTCTTTATCTTCGGATCACTACCTCATAGATATTTGTTTTTCGAAATAAATCGTTTTGAAATATTCTTGAATGAGAATAATTATACTTTTGAAATCAATAAATGAAAATGAAGTCTCGAATTTCGAACTTATTATTGGGTATGGAAAAGTGGTACTGTCTTAACTGTTAACAGATATGATAAAAGCCAGACATTTAAAACATTGGGAATCTAGCTAGGAGATAATAGTTAAATTAAAGTCAATTAAGTTACAACCTCTGCCAGTGCCAACCAGTTGTTGACATATTAACTTATTTATATTATGTTGATTTTCCCTGCTTCAGACTTGTTGCTGTGACTTATAATGATAGGGAAGTCATACCTTTTTAAATCACTCTTTTAATTATTCCATGTAGGCCTATAGTATAACTGAAATCTGTTCTCGTCTACTGTTTTTGCGGAAGAAGAACTTATATCATAGACAAGTAAGTCGACCCCAACAAACTGCAAACACAACAAAAAATAATTATGGATCTAACCCTAATCTATACCTAACCCTTACCTGAACCCTAACCCAAATCCGAGCTCTAATTAATCCAAACTCTAACACAAGCCTAAACCTTAACCTCCAATTATCTTTTTAAATCATATTGGTCACTTGTTACAGAATTCCTCCTGTTTTTGCCTGGATATTGTTCAGTGACCCAACACGCTTTACATGTCAGTGTTTTGCTTTCAGCTTGGAAAGACCAAGCACCACAAGTCCCACCACTTCGACTATGCCAATGAAGTGTCCATGATGGTTGGGGCTGAGAAGCCCGGTATAGGAGGCGAACCGCTACTTGGACAGAAGTACAAACCCAGGAATACAGTCTTCCCAAAAGGAGAGGGAAGCAATTTGCCAGCATGGGTTGCTTTTGATAGACAAGTAAGTCTACTTTGTTAATATTATTGCTTCTGATACAGAATCTTTGATCTCATAGAAATTTATATATTGTTCTGAATTGTGTCACCAGTAACAAGAAGCTGTTGAGCTGAGGAAATTAACTGAGGTATTCGTTCAGGGAAATCTTATCCGCAATTCTATCCCATCTAACTGACAAAAAAAAAATTCCATTCATGGACAAATTTAACTTGCAGACACATTATAAGATAAAGAGAAATTTATAAATATATGATTTTAATGGGTATAATTTTTATAGCACCTGCCCCGCTGAGCACACAGCTGTGGGTGTTTTATATCCATTTCCAAAGAACAACTACTGTGAAACAATTTAGTATCATATGCAGACATAGAAGAAATTACGCACTCTCTCTCTCTCTCTCTCTCTGTCTCTCTCTCTCTGTCTCTCTCTCTCTGTCTCTCTCTCTCTCTCTCTCTCACACACACACACACAAACACAAACACACACTCTTATTCATGCACACACACACACACACACACACACACACACACACACACACACACACACAC